CACACACGCGTGTTTAGGGTTAATTAGTGACCCTAAAACGTTTCTAGCTAGCATTGTACTGCCAACCACTAAACCTTATCCATGTTCTGTTGTAAACTTAACTCATTTGCTTTTAACATAGAAACTACTCCTAGTCCAGCTCATCTGTTTAATATTTGACAACTAATCTGAATTTAAACCAGTCATCGCATCCCCAAAACCTTATCTGAGAAATAAACAAGACACTCCACACCCCAATCACACACACAAGATAAAAAACGGGACATCATGGTGGCACAGTGGGTAGCACTGTTGCCTAGCAGAAAGGTTGCTGGTTTGAATTTATTTATTTGAATTGGACAATGCATATTAATGGATGTACAAGACGTAAATATACCAGAATTAGCTAAGCTAATTTCCAATGGTAGTCCCTTGTAATTCTCATGAACTTCCTTTCTGCGTGGAGCTAGCGTGTTCTCCCCATGTACGCGTGGGTTTGCTCCCGGTGCTCGGGTCCCCCCCACAGGCCAAAAACACACATTTAGGTGAGCTGGTGACTAAATTGCCCCTAGATATTAGTGAATGTGTGAATGGTGGTATGTCAATGAGTCCCTGTGATGGACAGGACTTGGCCAGCGTGCCCCCTACCTTTCAACCAGTTGTTGCTAGCGAGTGCCACCAGCTCCCCACAACGTTTGTTCAGAAAACGATTAAATGAGAAACAAATCTGAAAAGTTACCCCCCCACTCCCAGTCAGTCGTGGCAGACGGCTGCTCATTCTGAGCCAGGTTGTGTTGGAGGTTTCTTCTTGTTAAAAGGGAGTTTTCCTCTCCGCTGTCGCTACATGTTTGCCCAGTATGAGGATTGCTGTAAAGTCCCGCACACTTCGAGTCAGTGACTCCATGCAATCCGCTGGGTTTCCTTAGTTAGGAACCTTTTAACTAATTAGCATCATGAACTCAACTCAACTCACTGTTTAATAAGTAGGTTCAACTGGAATGTTTGCTTTGTAAAGTGCTGTGAGATGATTTGGGTTGTGAATTTGCGTTAACAATAAAACTAAATTGAATTCAAGTGAAATCACCAAACTTTTAAATAAAATAAAATAAAAGATTTAAGAAATCACTAAACGTAGCTCATCTTGAATCAGGCCTAAACTGATTAATAAAGGTTTGTTTTTCCTGCGTCTTGAGGTCATTTCTAGATTTCTTGATGCAGGTTTTGCTTTTCCTCGTCAAAGCAAAAAGTAAAAGGCACTGGTAATGGTACTCTCAGTGAGATGGGGTTCGATTCCCTGTGGTGCCCTGCTGATTGTTCTGACATAAACAAAAGCATTTTAATGTTAACTTACATTTTGACAATTCAGTCTTTCTGTTATTAATGTGTCAGCCTTGTTTTGTTAATAGCTTTGTTAAGATCAATTAATTGACTTTAACGAAACAACTCCACACCAAAGTAAAATTGTTTCTGTTGTTGTACTCCCCATAATTGTATATGTCGAAAAATACTAACCCTAACCAGCCCAGTCATTCTGTTCCGGCAGTAAACTTTAGCTTTAGCTTAGCACAAAACAATGTAAATGAATGGTAACAAGTAGCCTTGAGTGTGAAAACGTTACTAAATAGTGATCCTATTTCTGCCTACTGACCTCAATAATCATATTAATAGTAAGTGAAAATAATTGGTAACACAAAGGAATCACAGGTGCCATTTTAGACTCAGAACTACTTTGTGACAAAGCGCAGCTGACCTCCACTGAAAGGTCCAAGGCAGCCCCAAAGACATCTGTTTTCATAACACAAATTTACACGCAATTAGCTAACTGCCATAAAACACATGTGTTTTCTTTATTTTCAGTTTAAGTGCTAAACACCTCTGTGAACTCCTTGAAGACTGTTGGAAAACCCTTTCAGGTGACTACCTCTTGAAGCTCATCAGGAGAATGCCAAGGGTGTGTAAAGCAGTAATCAAAGGAAAAAGTGGCTATTTTGAAGAAAAGAGAATCTAAAATATGTTTTCAGGTAACCTTGTTTGGTTAAGTACATAACTCCACATGTGTTCATTCATAGTTGTGATGCCTTCAGTGAGAATCTACCAACGTACTGTAAATGGTCATGAAAATAAAGAAAACACATTGAATGAGAAGGTATGTCCAAACTTTTGGCCTGTACTATATGTATATTTATGTAGCGTTATTGATTGCCTTGTCATGTTTGAGGGTAATTTCTTGACCCACGACATGAAGAATCACCACCGAGAGACAGAAGGTAAGTTTAAATGATTTATTATGAATGGGAGAGGTAGATGAAGCTTCTGCAGGACTGGAGGGATCCGTGGGGTTCTGAGAGAGGAAGAGAGGTCAGAGTCTGGAGCAACATGAGATGATGATGGAGAAATAAAAAGGTTTACTGTTTCCTGGATGATCCGGTATTTTGTGGGGGGATTAGTCAGACCTGGCTGGATGGGGAGACCGAGGAGCTGCAGGTGGATAGGTGGGTGACGGAGAGCTGGCGATCAGGGGCAAACGGCAGGACTGGAATGTGGTTGATGGTTCTGGAGATATGGCAGAGAGTGGAGATGAACAGATGACTGGAACCTGGAGGAATCAGGAGGGCAGAGCAGGTTAACTGCCAGAAGGGCAGGAACAGGCGGACAAACAAATTCTAAAATTGTTTTAGGAAGGTCAAAAGGAGGGCTAGAAACTACCCAAGACTGAGTATCATCTGGCAATGGTGAGATGTCCTTATGCCTTAAATCCCCTGATCGCTGATGAGCTGATTTGGCACAGCTGGGCTCTCCAGACACACCCACCTGAAAACAACACTCAGCAGAGATGGTTATGCAGCACAGATCATGACATGCCTACATATATATTAAATGATCAATAAAATGTGACATTCCATATAAATATGAAATATCAATCTGATTGGTCTTTGAATGTTTAATCAGAAGACTTCAGTTTCTTTGACTTATTCAGGGAATATACACTTCACATCAAATCAGACATAGTCAAGAATATAGTTATAAAAAATATTTTAATTCTATTTTCCTAAACTAAATGATTGTACATGACAAAGAATGAAAGAAGTGATGGTTGAAATGATGGAATGGAAGCTAGATGTTTTAGCAAAATCTTGTGTCTGAGATTGAGCTTGTGAAGTCTGGATTGTAAAATCAATTTGGCTGTTTGGTTTGATGCAGCTATAGATTTGTTTATAAAACTATCCGACGCAATTTGTGCCGAGTCTACGCACCCATGTGTGAAGATCCCGAAGCAATCCAGGAGGTCAGAAGGTCGAGATGGACACTGCAGATGGTGTAGACCTCTAGTACCAGAGCTCGTAGCCAGCTCAGATTACAACCCGTCTAGTCTGGGTTATCTTCAGGTGACAGCAGGAAACTGGAGAGTCAGTTTTGCATCTAAGGCTGTTCAGTGGCTCTTAAAAGAGCTGTCATGTCTGATATCACCCGCAAGCATTGCAAAGAGGCTTTGACCTTGAGGTCAAAAGATAGGATGGGTTCCGGATGCTTGCTCACCGGTCGGCCAAACCAGGATGCAGCGGGAGAACTACTAGATCAGGAAGTGATTCCTGGTTATATAAATTCTTGTTTATAAATTTACACAAGTTATAATTTGACACATTTTAAAGGCATTGCCAAAATACCTCAGAAATCCTTCCTTCAGTTAGATATTCAGAGAGGTTAACTCAGTGTGAAGTGCAAATGTTACAACAGTTATGTGAAGCAAAAATGTTAAACATTAATAATTATCTTATTATAATGTGTGTGAGTATACTGATAGTTTAACTTGTTAAATCAACAAGCACTAATCTGGTGTAGTTTAAGATCTGAAATGAATCATTGCAGGAAAAATATTCATTTTAATACATCATTGATTAATGCACAGATTATTCAAACACTTTGAGATATAAACACCTTCTTCATTCATCGCGTTTGATTAGATCAACTTATAAAGTTGTAAAGTCATTTATGAGTCAAGGAAGATTAACTTTGTTCAGAATGAAAGTGCAGAAGTCTCGTCTTCTGCTTGAGACCTTGAGCAAAGGTATTATGGCTTCCTTGTTTGGTGACAAGGCCTTGTGCAGTGCAAGAATTACTTTCTTGTTTGGAGGCCAGACAGATGGGGTGTTTGTGTTTGCAAATGAAAAAGTTAATTTCTAGTCATTTTTTATGTTAATACATCACCTTTGGTACGCTATGTATATATGTTTTTTTTTTTGTCAGAACAATCAGAGCACTACAGGGAATCAACCCTGTCTCATTGAGAGTACCATTACCAGTGCCTTTTACTTTTTGTTGTGACTAGGAAAATCAAAAACTGCATCAAGAAATCCAGAGATTACCTCAAAATGCAGGAAAAATAAACCTTCACTAATCAGTTTAGGCCTGATTCAAAATGAGAAACTTTTAGTGATTTGTTACATTCTTTCTTTTTTTATTTATTTATTTTTTTTGGGTGATTTCACTTGAATTCAATTTAGTTTTTGTTGTTTAGCGCAAATTCACAACCCAAATCATCTCAAAACACTTTACAGGGGCTGAGCGAAGACAAAGAACGGGCCCAGAAAATTGAAAATTACAGTTTGTTCAAAATTTGGAAAGCTGCTCTGCTGGACACATGTGGCCCTCTTGAGGTTGTTTTGTTTCTTTACAACGACAGTCCCCAAAGTAAACTTTTCTAATAAGAAACCAACCAAGCATCTTCTTTATCTTGTAAAACATAGTGTATTTATTCAAAAAAAATTACTCACTAGTGAAACAGCTAGTGCTTTTAGTTCACAAGACTTTCCGGAAGACAGTTAGACAATTAGAAATATTTTATTCCCTCAAATATATTTAAAAAAGAATAACGATGTTGAGAATGTGATAAGCATAAGTTCAGATATTTGCAGAATATAAGCAATAACTCACTGAAATATAAAATGTGCAGTCTAACATGTTTGAAATAGCAAATATTAAAATGTTAGAAATTACAGATATGGACGTAGCACGTGAACTCACCACGGTGATGTGGGCGTGATTGTCACAAGACGTCTCTGGTAGCTACTAGCTAAGCTGCTAGCTGGCGGCTTGTGCTTCTCGAATGTGTGCTATTCGCCTAGAAAAGTGCTGACGTATGAAAACGCCGTGCTTCTTTTGGGGCGACAGAGGTATGCACGAACATGAAAAATATTTGATCATAAATATTTTTGAGTTTCGTTTTTTCCCTTCGCTTTACAAACGCAGTGGAACAACATCAGGCAAAGGTATGCTGCAGGTTTTGCTTGCTGGCTAACTGTTAGTATCATCAAAATCTGAGTAACAACAAGTTTCTACTTTGTTTAATCCTGTTATAAAACATAATATCATGTATTTCACATCGGGGTCGTATTTGCCTAGAGTTCTGCCAAGGCCGTGGTATCAATCCAAGGCTTTCAGGAAGCTTAATCCGCGTCCACCAAGCTGGATCAGTTTTATAATGTTTTAATCTGCAAAGTTGAATGAAATCTTTATGCATGATGCCAAATATTTACTTTTCTTTAATATAAAAGCACATTTTCTCAGAGAAATAGGTAGATTTACTGGGAAATGCAGATCTAACCTGTTATTTCCCTCAAACGCATAAATTAATATCAAAATATTGTGACCTGTAGCAGCTGTAGTAAAGTTTTATTACAAATTTTAAAATATATATTAAACCAACAAAAACAAACATAATCCCATGTAGTTTTTAGTAATCAGCTCTGAACTGAGTTTCCCCCCTTTTTCCTTTTGAATATGCACTATTTTAAAAAATAAACATACCTGCAAAATGCTAAGCTGTTGGGACTACCAACCTATTTTGCATTCAGTGCAAACTTCAGTTTGTTTGATTAAAACACTGAATCACCCCAGAGACTCGGGTCTATGAGAATAAAACAAATTACAGCTTATTAAAGCGTTAACACACAAATGATAAAAATAAACTTCTAAAGGGACCAAACAACTAAAATTTTGACATATAAATGTGCTTAAATGCAGATGTTTCAGTTTTCTTACCAGATTAAAGGTTATCTACTTAACCTGTCATTTATTTGGGTTGTTAAAGTTTAAAAATAGATCCAGACGAGCAAAATCTGCCTATATGTGTGAAATTTCCCCTGTTTTACTTGTATTTTTTTTTATTGATACTTGAATAAAACAAGATTTTTGTCATGCAGGGAGATGCTGTATTTTTGTGAGCACTGACCCATGCAGGATGCCGTCCCGCTTCACGTGACACCAGCGGGCTGAAATGGGCTTCCTAAAGCTGTTGGCCAGAATCATGGGTCGGGTCAGTACATTCAGATCCTATCAGTTTGTGCTTCTCCTGGCTGCCACGCTTGCAGTTGTAGCTTTTTACTACTTTGGCTCGGAGAGGCACAGCTTCTCCAGCACCACAAAGAGAATAAAGCAGACCCAGGCCAGCAGCAACAGGAATGACGCTGATCTCACCGTGGACACCATGATCTCACACCTGACTGAGTCTGAGGAGCAAGGAGGGGAAGATCAAGAGGTGGAACAGGAGGGTGAAGTTTTGGGGACCAGGAGGGGGGATGTAAAACCAAGTAGCCAGCACTATCACGCTCTGATGATGTTCACAAAGGTGGACAGGAGCAGGAGCTTGCAGGAGAAGTTCAGAGTGGCCATGTTGTCCTTGGTGAAGCACGGACACTTTTTGGAGGGAGAAATGTTGGTGCTTCATTTTGTGAGTGACCAGGCCAGCCAGGAACTGGGTCAGAGGATGCTGCAGGAGTTTCTCCAAGATGCAACATTTAAATATGAGGTAATGCACATTTAAGCTTGCCGTTTCAATCTGAAACACACGAGGGCAGTGTTTTCTTGCTAAAAGAACCCCACCTTAAATCTGACTACCTTTCTTCACTACCAAAAAAGGAGTATTATGTTCTTTTTGTGTGTTTTTGTAAAATTTCCTGCCATTTTTGTCTTCTTTCATATATATATATATATATATATATATATATATATATATATATATATATATATATATATATATATATATATTAGGAATAATGGAAATAATTAAACTTAAGAAGTCACAATCATTTAGATTGGAAAATAATAAGCAAACTACTTTTTTAACATTTCAGGCAAATATACAACTAAACTACTTATTAAGGGTATTGCAGACTAAGCATTCTGATTATTTTACTTAACTCATTCACTGCCAGCCGTTTCCTGATCACTAACTGCCTTTGCTGCCAGCGTTTCTTACCGTTTTTACTGTTTTTTTAAGAGTCACAGAACGTTGCACGCTAGGATTATGTCGAGCGTTATCCGTTCTTTCATAATCCGTTGTCGAATTGTGATCGGCAGACGCTTTTCCAGTTCGCGCCTCACTTTTTTTACAGGAACGGCCCAAAACGATCTCCTAACACATGGATGTGTTGCTTCCTGATCATGTGATCTGTGACGTATGCGGATGAAGATCGGCTTCAGGGCTGAGATGTTTGTTCTATCAGCGCGGGGGCTCGTTCTGATGCTCAAACAGTAAAAAAAATGCAAATGACGACTTTAGTCGTCATTGGCAGTGAACGGTTGGATCTTAAATAACGACTTTAGTCGTCAATGGCAGTGAATGAGTTAAATAATTGTGATTTTTTGATATATAACTTGAGGCTTGACTTGACTTGCGTTTTCCACTCTGTTGCAGGCTGTAGTAATTAGATAATTTGCATCACTGCCTCCGCTGAGGTTTCATGCCACTTTATTCTAAACAGGTAGCTTGAAACCCTGGTCAGAGCCTCTTGTGGGTGCAAACGACAACACTTCTGTAGCAACTGTCCTGCTCACACCTACACGTTTCCTTTCTACCTAAAGTAATTTGAAAATTCAAGTTTGCAAAGGTTATGAGCTGAAAAACACAGAAGAAACTCATCTCTTTAGACAGCAAGGCAGCATTATTCGTATAGCACATTTTATACACGTAATAGAGCTAAGTAGATCTGGGTTTCATCTGCATAACTATGATAGGCAATGATGTTATTGTTTATGACCTGACCTAGGGGAAGCATGTAGAGATTCAAGAGCAGTGGTCCAAGAGTTGAGCCTTGGGGGACCCCACATGTCATGATGATCTGCTTTGATTTGTGATCACCAATAGAAACAACATAACCCTTGTCTGCGAGGTACGATTGGAACCACCTATGGACTGTGCCTCATAGTCCCACCCAGTTTATGAGCCCATCAAGACAGTTGTTGTAGATGTTTTGAAATCGGGTTAGCTGTGTTGGGAGATTAGTCTCTTGACAGTGGCGAATAGAATACAGGAATTGTTAATAATTTTGCTAAATTACTTTGTTGGAAAAGGCTTGCCTTGCCTCATTTAACTCAGAGTTGAAAGTGTGAAGCTGCCTTCTGAAGGTCTCATAGTAGAGACCGACTGATATATTGGGCCGATATATTACATTTTTTCTATATCAGCCAAAATAATTTTTAAGGCCAGTTAAAAATAAATAAAAAAATAAATCAGGCACCTGTGTGGCCAACTGCCGCCACTACTAGACTGATGAAAAGACCCGAAGGACACCAACGCACCTTTTTTTTAATGTTTTGAGTTTGTTTTATATTTGAAGTTCAATAAATATTAAGAGATTTGTTGACTTATTTAATTTATATTGCACACAGTGAGTGTTCAGTTGTCTTTCACAATCAATGTGTTGCTTAAACGTATATATCAGCAAAATTCTTTAAGAATCGGCATCGGTCTTAAAAAACCCTTATCGGTCGGCCTCTATCTCATAGTGACCTGATAGGCTTTTTCTCCAAGTACGCTCAGCTTCCCGGCATTCTCTTTTCTGATTTGTAACTGATTTATTGAACCTCCATAGAGCCTTAGCTTTATGTGTGTCGATTTTTAATGTGGATTCGTAGATGGACCTTTGTTGTTATTATTCAAAAAGCTCTAGTGCAGAGACAGTTGGTCCCCAGTTTCTGCATCTGCATTAGTTAAACTGTCGAAAGGTAACTCAGTTTCCTGTTATGTGTCTAACTGTGATGATTATCCATCTACATATACACAATTTAACTAACACATTCATGTGCAACCGTCTCCAGAGAAACTGAACCCTTTCATCATGCACCCACAAATAATTAAAACTTTTGTGTTTTTTTGTTTTGTTTTTGTCCTGGAAACCCTCCACTTGTATTTATGCCCCCCACCCTCATGCATCACCGCCAAAAAGCCCACACACGCAAAGACCAGAATAATAATCTTACACACTTTTCAAACCCTGTTTCCATCCAGATCAATAAGTCACTTTAAAAACTGAATTTTCAATAGTGGAAAAGAAATGGTTTGATGTTTGTGTTAGGAGTTACTTCTTTAGAATTGGGCCAACATTTGTTATCAAAAAAGGCTGAGAATACCAAACAATCATCAAAAAGACTCATTGCTTTGTCTTAATTTACTCTGTTGCACTGTGTAGAGTCAAAACATTCGCTCCCACCAAGCCCCCACAATGCGGCTCAAAAATTGAGCCCAACCCGGAAGTACCAAAAATTGCTGTTCCACCCTCATCCACTAGGGGCTGGTGTCAGAAGCGAGCAAATCCTCATTGACTGCCATGTTAAAAATACCAATTTCACAGTAGAAATAAACATGTTTACAGCCTGGTACCAGAACATGTTTTTTGTTTAAATGGTCTAGTTTACACTCATGACAACTCTGAGGGGGGTGAATTTTTTTCTCACTCTTCTGTTTAAGTGGATTAAAATCCTAAAAGTCAGTATAATTAATGAGCATCCAACCCACGTGACCGCAGAGCTAGCTCCGTGGAAAGGCCTCAGTAGAGCCTCGGTCTGGCCTGGAAACTGTTCCGGGATTTTGAGTCTCTGTGTTTGTGTATTCATCTTTGGATATTATTTGTGCAATTGTTGGACAAAATGACTTGCTGTGGCATTAATTGCACTAATAGAGCGTCCAAGGAGTCCCCACTTCATTTTTTTTGGTAAGTAAAATTATATTTATGTATTTTAGGTCACTGCCGAGCTGAGCTTAGATTTTAACATGTACTGCTTAACCATGAAATTTAAATGTAATAGGGTCAAACCCAGTGCATTTAACATAATGCTGCACTTTAGAAAATGGGTTGAAATATAACATGTTGGTGGAGCTGGGTTCCGACTATCGGCTTGTGGAGCTCTCGGGAGACCTCTGTTTTCCACCCGTTTCTCCCCTCCCCGCAGCTCGGTGCATCTCTGTCTGATCGCGGCTTCTGTACGCTGCGCGGGCTGCTGGCTTGTGGAGCTCTGGGATGGAAACCTTTCCACCCGGTTCTCCCCAGCGGCAGCTCTGCGCATCTCAGATTGCAGCGGCGCTTGTCTGCTGTGCGGCTGCCGGCTTGTGGAGGTCTCTGAGACCTCTGTGTTCCACCCGGTTTTACCCAGCGGTCAGCCCGGCGTATCTCTGACTCAGAAGCTCTGGTGTTGTGCACAGTTAACTCCAGTTGTAGCTAGGTTGCTACCTCCGTTAGCTTAGCTCCCACCGCTGCATTAGCTTTGGGTTAGCTTCAGGTTAGCTTGTAGCTAGTTCGACCGGGTGTCGTCAGTTGATCCCAGCCTTACAGCCCCACCCTCAGCTCCACCTCTCTTCCCTTTTGTGGACTTGCCTGGGCTTGACGGAACCTGTGACACGGTCAAAATGGCGGTGGTGGTCACCTCCCATTTGGCCTCAAAAACATGTTATTGGAGCCCATGGAAACCCATTGTCCATATATTTATATGTCGATGGCTCCCACACAGAACTAAGGCTTCTCCGGAAACGAGAGTTCTGATAACAACATTCCACATTTACACCATCCATTTTGCCTCATTCACGACTAGATCCATTCATCACATAGTGTTTAAAGTTAGACTTAGCCTTGTTTTAAATTGTTTAGAAATAAATCTTCTTAAACTTTAAAACTTGTCTCTCTTTTTGACTCTGGCTTATTAGAAGTGTTACCTAATCCCTGCGATAAAAAGTTCCGATCTTCTGATTAAAGGTATTCAAAGATACATCAAATTGATTTCATATTTTCTGTGGAATCTCACCTTTGATGGTTTCCTACATAAGATGTAAGTATTGATACACTACAATTGGGACATGCATGCATGCAAGTTTAATGCCATGAATGCAAAATTATGTGATAAAAAAAAAGCATTTTGTTAATATCTTTTTAAAAATCAAAATTGCAGACTTGATGATGCCTGGGTTAGGGTGTGTGTCCTTTCAGCTCTAATGACTAAAAATAAATGAAGAGATCTGATTCTGATTTGTGATGGCAGGACTTGAACCACCATACTTGTTCTGTGGGAAAGCTGCAATAAATACACAAACATCATGGTCCAGTAAAGGAACATGCTTTCTCTTCTCCCCTTCAGATTTCCTTTCACGATGTGGTGGAACTCACACACAAGCTGTACCCTATCGTGGAGGCCATGCAGAAGCATTTCAGCGCCGGCTCTGGGGCTTACTACAGCGACTCCATCTTCTTCCTGTCCGTAGCCATGCATCTCATCATGCCTGAAAGTAAGAACCTGCAGCATTTTCCATAACACTGTTGGTAAAGTGGTTTGGATGGCCTTTAATAAGCCTGCCAAGGAATGTGTTTGCAAAGATTTGCAAAAACAAGAGTCCTTAATTACCTTGCCTTGCTGTCATGTCGCTGGAATTTTGAACATGTTCAGAAATGATTTTCTCAGAATAGTCCAATAGTGGTTGCAGGTGTCTACAGCCTATCTTAAACCCTTCTTAATTTAGTTTTCATGCATCAGAAAGTGCAAGAAATGTGAGTCCGCTCTGGGAGACGTTTGCAACCGAATTACAAAAAATTGAGGGTATGTTGAAACAAGAAAATTAGCAAATGCAGTGTTTCCCTTAAATAGGCTCAGGCATGGTGCAGCACCATGCCTACAAGTTTAAGATTTTTTTTAGGATTCTGAAATCTTTTATCCTATTTTGTGTGAAGGGGTATAATTTTAAATTTATGTCTTTTAATATTAAAAAAACTTCTAAAATGTCTGAATCGTCAAAATAGAAAAAAGTAATGATAACATTGTGATTGTGATTTTGTAAAAACAAATTGTGATGTGATTTTTTTCCCCCATATCGTCCAATCCTAATTCTAAGTAGAAATTTGGGCAATTTATCCAATTGTTGTGATTTCCCCCAACAGTCAGAGCTCAGTGTTACTCTGGCTTTAATCCCATAAAAACAAAGTTTATAAAAATGTTATAAAATAAAAGGAAATCCTACTGCATCGAGTATTAATTCTCTGGGAGACAGGTTTATATTCAGCTGCTCTGTCTTGGGTGGCATGCGGCTGGAAAAGGGCCTGCAGTGTGTGGAAGGAAGGATGTTCTGCCACTGCTGCCCACATTAGTGCCCCCTGTGTTGGTTCTGGCTGTGATCTCTCTTCTGTTGTGCACTGCTGCTGCTAACTTCAGTGGATTTTCAGCACAGGGTGTCTCTGCAAAGATGAGCTAAACCATTAAGCTTTGAGGTTTTGATCAATTGCAAACGGACACAAATGTGACGCCTGAGGTGTCGCCATCACATTATAACGCGGAGGCAAAGGCAACATAACCCGTCAGATCTTTTTTATCTTGCGTGCAGTTGGGGCAAAACCTGATTAAAGAAGCATGAAGTTGCATTTGTTATTACCGTGTTATTGTGGGGAAAAGCGTGTTGGTCATTTTAAGTTCTGAGAATTTGTTTGTGGTGGAGCTCGGAATTGTTGTCTCTGGCCTTTAACCATTTCATTTAGTAGAATTCGGTGTTGTGTTGTGACAAAGAACGAGACTGACGTCGTGGGTCTGGTGCATCACGTTTTGTCCCTAAAACGATTATTGATTGTCCACATGTTTCACCGGTCCACAGTGTGTGTCCAGGTGGTCACACACTTCTATTTAAAGAATGCTTTTATCTGCAAAGGGCGTAATGTGCTGTGGGTCCTAGGGGAAATAGGAGGGTGTTTTGTGTAAAACTGTATGCTTTATTTTTCTTATTGTTTTTCTTTCTATGAGTGTTGTCTGTAAACGCTGCTCAGCAGACAGGGAACATTGTTGTCCAGAAATGAAAATTAGGCTATTGGGATTAATGAATGTTAGATGTGAATGTTTGGTTTTATTTAAAGATGTTCCATCATTAGCTTTTTTCTTTTTTAACCAATATCTGATACACAATGTAGTCTAACTTTTAGTTTCCAATACATGGATCAGATACCAATATATGCAGCCCCCTCCCCTCCCAATAAAAAAATAATTATTTGGTAACTAGTACCCAAATTTCCTATAATGCATAATTCATATAATGCTAATTTACAGAATAAGCTAGCTAAAAACACAAACGCTCACCCCTCCCGCTGGGTAGCATCCTTGGGACATATCCGCCGAAACCAGAAACCCGCATAGCCAGAGGAAACGAGAAAGTGCTGAATAAGAGAGCGCTAAACACCAGTCGCCATTTCTAAGTCCCAAGGTCTTCTGTTGTCTGTGACCAAATGGCGTTATGAATGTAAGATCCAGAACAGTTTGAAAGTGCGGCAGTCTGGTAAGACAGACAACCGTACGGTCCAGTTGTTGGTTTTGGTTTCAGCCATGTTAATGGCGGAGGTTTTTAGACAAATGCGAGAGAACCACTTTATTCCTTTTTTAAAAATCTCTACAGTTTATTTATAGCTATACTGTTAGAACGTTGTTAGGAGGTGTGAAAAAAATTTGTTAAGCTAGCTTTAAACATTATTCAGTGCAAAATACAACCACTACTTCTGTTGAAGTTAGGCCAGTTGTGCCAAACAAACAAAAATACCCTAAAAACTATAGCTTGAATCTGTCATATTTAAATAGTTTGAATGAGAGAAATAGCTTAGGAGTTTTATGTGTAAGATGTGCATGGTTTGTAATAATGTTGTGTCTTACACCAATAATTTCAGATATTACGTTTTAATGCCTATAATGGTCGATGATGATTGTAGGCCAACAGTCCCTAGTTTGATTTTGCTTGTTTGAAGAGCATTTATAGAAATATTTTACCATGTACTGTAAAGGTAATTAGACCTTGAGTAGGAAGTTGTTGGAACAGTTTATTTTCATCTGTTTTAAATCCTGATGATAGAAAAAATATATAAAGTTAGTTGTGTAAAGCGATGAAGAACCTGTTTGGATTTGAATTTCATATAACTTTGTAAGGAGCAAGTGTCAAACATTTGAACAGGGCATTAAAATACAAACATTGTTAAACATGTGATCCCTAACAAAAACAGTCATCTAAAAATATGAAACTAATTCTATTAACTTCAGACCTTGGGGGATAAGACACCAACGTCACAATGGAAAGCTGCTGTAATTAATGATAAGGTTCCTAAGAAACACTGTTTTTGTTTGTGGAAAGGTCTTAGATGGTTTTGTTTTACCTCTAGAGGTCTCGTGATGTTTGGCCATGAGGCCTTCCTACATGACTGAAAATTTTCCACCTTGGCAGAAGTGGCTGCATAATGTGTGAAATGCCCTGCTAATTAGAGGAGAGTGTTAGCCACTAGTGTGTTAAGTCCTAATTAATATTTTGGTTTTCACTGGGCAGTGATCGCACCTTTGGTATCACTGGTTATTAGACACGTCTTCACATTTTTTATGTGCACTACTTTTAACACCTTTTAACACTAGAGAAAAAGGATGCAGGATGCTGTGGTTACACACTTCCCATCCCTTTAGGTTGAGTCACTGGTCCAGCATCAAACCCAACCCTGTCAGTGTTGTAACAACCGAAGGCCCACTTCCTATTAGACTCCCACTAGTTAAACCCTGTCAATGCAAACAACAGCACTGACCATGCGAGGTTACTCTCCTGTTTCCACAGCCATTGTCAGGAATGGCTTCCTTGTTTATAGAGCACCAAGAAAACAGTTCACTGCAACATTGCTGAGTTTTCTTTTTCCTGTCTCCTATTTGATCAGAAACACGCTCTTTATTTTCTTTGTGTATCCTTCTGAGCCAGCCATAATAACTCAGTAGTTATGTGGCATTATCTTGTTTTGAATGTCTTCATGAGACATCAATGTAAGTTTTTGTAAGTTGTTTAGTTTGACCAAAATGGGACAGTGTAGATGGGTGCTTTTCAGTTGAAAAAGCAGTTGTTTTAACCTCAAATACCTGCAATGGACCTCCAAAAACAGATAACAGGGAGCTATGTTAGGCATGCATATTTGGAATACTATACCATATTTGGGAGGATGGCAGTAAGTCAGCAGTTGTCTAATGTTTGAGGTCATTGACCCTTTGGTGCACCAGATGTCTAGCTGGTCATTTAAGGGGATGTTTAGGAAATGTACGGTTGATTAGTATCACAACTTTATTTATTGCATGCAAAGTAGTCCCTAAACACCATAGTTATCAGGTGGCAACTTGGCACATCTTTAAAGAGGTTCTTCACTGAGAAACCATTACTTACTTAATTTTTTACTTGATTGGTCACATGTTTAACATCCAGGCTGAACGTGAAAACTGTGTCCTACATAGGGCTGTGTTGAAAAAATTGATTCTCCCATTCTGAATGGATTCTTATAAATATTCATGAGGATCGATTCCTGTGTCCAAAGATCAATTTAACCCTTCAAGCACCAGCAAAATTGCAACGTGTCATTGCTGACTTTAACTAGCCATAGCTGCAAATATGATCCCTCATGAAGTTACTACTTTACACCAGAAGATAGTGGAGATGTCTATCTTCAGTAGTCTGAAAAACACTTATGTTTATATTGAAAGTTTCTGGGTTTTTAGAGCTTGAAAACCGCCTTCCGCCGGGAGGCTCCCAGTTTGGGTTGGGCATGAGCATCGAGCATCGATTGGAAGCGGTTCCAACTGTTAATTTTTCCCGGAATCGCTCAAAGTTTTTTTTTTCAATTCCTAGTTTTGATTCCTAGAATGCCGACGGAAGAGGAATCCGCGGCCGATCTCCGTGAAAAATAAACGTGATCTGTAAATTGTGATCAACGCTTTTCAGAGCTGATCACACCAGCTGTCTGTGTGCAGCACAGAGTCCCCCTCCCCCCACCCGGCGCGTAGCAGCCAAATATAAACAAACACATCTGCCGAACTTTTACTCCGTGATGTAAACTTTAACTCCTGCAGCGTAGAGGAAACTTGTTAAATACGTCAACACGGTGGCTTTAATAGAAGCTTTAAAGAACAAACTGGACGATGTGAGGTGAGTTTGTCTCACTGCAGAAATAAAAACACACACGGAGCGTCAGCAGTCAGACGCAGCCACTCACAACACGTGTGTGTGTGTGTGTGTGTGTGTGTGTGTGTGCGTGCGTGCGTGCGTGCGTGCGTGCGTGTGTGTGTGTGTTTGTGTGTGTGAACGTCAGAAGACTGAACATTAACCTGTAGAATAATTAAAGTCATCATGCTAGAGAAGCTTCTCTGTGGTGGACCACACCAGCTTCTGCCACAATAAATAAATAATAATAAAAATAAACAACATTTTTATTTCCTTTTTGAACTATTTCTGTTGAGAGTTTTAATGTTTAAAATCTGTTAGATTGTTACTGACAGCAGCTGCATTTAGGTTTCAGCTTCTGTCCTGACTGAATGCTGCTGCAGCATGGAGGTGTAGTTCTCAGTCATCCTGGACATGATCATCCTGAGAGTTTTAGCTGAAAACAGCTGGACCTTTCTGGATATGTTGGAGACATTTAGCCTCTCATCCCAGAGGCTTCTTCCAGACTTTGGTTGTGGTCAGAAACAAACTCACTGGTTGTGCTGCAAGTCTTTTTATTTTTTTTCTCCAAAACATGTTTTTGTCTAAATGAAGGTGATGTTGTTGTTCATAGAATTAAAATTCATGTTGAAGTTAAGATTATTTCATCAAGTAGGACCTGTGGTTAGCTAGCTCACGTAAAGCATGTCATGTCTTGAAAGAATCGGAATCGGGAATCGATAGGAACCTGAATCGAAACGAGGAATTGGAATCGGAGTCGTTCAAAATCAAACGATGCCCAACCCTATTCCCGGTTACGGGAGAGGACGAGAAGAGGAACAAACGCAGCACACGTAGGGCAAATATAGGAAAAAACTTACTAATGCTGGCAGGTCTGGTCATTGTTGACTCTCTTTGTCTGGTAATGTTTGACTCTGATTCAGAAGAAGAATGTTGTCTCTCAGATGAAAATATTCACTCATGCAGGAGTCATAAAGAGTGGCGCAGCTGCACGGAGCAACAAAGAGTCTATGCGGCAAGTGAAGAAAGTAAGGCTAATGGCTAATCTGAAACTTTCTCACCATGTTCGGGACATGGTGGATTTAGAAAGGATAGTAAAAACACAGCTAATGATGCCAGATGTAGCTTGAATGTAAAAAAAAAAACTACAGTATAAAAAATGGCAAACACGTTAATTATGGAAGTCAAAGAGTGCCACATCATCTAATGAACATTCTACGTACCCCAGCCATCTGTGGTCCAGACAGGGACCTTTTCTTGGAGCAAATGATCATTACATTCAAGAGCAGATCAACCCTGAACATGTTCAAGCCTAAAAAAAATTTACTTGAATATCATTGAATGTTGAAAAAATATTGCTTGAGTCTTGAGTGAGGCCAATAAAAATATAAAAGAATACATGTGTGTGTGCAATTACAGCATTCGGATGAAATCTTATTGTGTTATTTTTAATAATGCCCTAGTTTTGTGTTCCAGTGACAGTCCACTGATGCAGTTATTGACACTTCTTCCTTCCTCTGTTGGCTGTCCTGGATCTGTTTGCTAATTCTACCAGACAGCATGTTTGTGAAAAGCAAAATTCTGAGAGAAGGATTGGGCCACACAACCTTTTTAAATTGCCAACATTTCAATAATTTGTTGTTGAATGTTAATAGTGTTAATATACTACACAACTATATAGTCATGTAATTAAGAAGAAAAGTTTGCTTACCCGATATATCAGATCAAATCGAATCGTGATAATCGATTGTAATTCTTTAGAATCTGAATCAAATCGATTCTTGAGATTTGAATCAATACCCAGCTCTAGTCCTACACCTATCTCCTGCATCAGCTTCTCATAGAAAATAGTGAAACTCTAGGATTTGAAAAGCTGACAGATCTACATCACACTGTCACTTAACACTCATGGATTCACCCATCTTGACTCACAACAGGGAAGGCTGTTGTTGGTTTAGAGTCCAGGAAACAGCAGAGAACGTCTTGACTAGTAGAAGGTAACCGTTAGGGGGTCTTGTAGGGCGTGGAAATGGAATTTCAACCGTGAAACTCTGCACATACACTCACAGACAGCATTTTTTTTCTCTCTCTATCTCTCTCTGAGCTTCAGCTACATGAGGACAGACGCAGCAGTCTGGATGCAATATCAGAGTCGAGGCCGTCTTAATTTATGGGAGACACCACAGAATTGTCCACGCACCTTTGGCCCCACCCACGTGCTTGGAAATGCGCTCATTACATCACTAATATCTTTCCACCAATTTTGGAGACTGCCCATATGCTCAGTCACGTTTGCATGCCTAAAGCTTGGTTTATGCTTGACGCATTCACTTTCCGCTTGGTGATGCGGCTCGTGGATGGAACGCGCTTCACAACTCGCAGCGTTTATGGTTCGTGCGGCTCGTCTCTGCGGTGAGCCAATATTCTCCCAAGCTGAACCGGGCAGCATGGAGCTCTATGGCATGCATCCAACACTACACCATAGTAGAAGTAAAAATTACTGTTGTTTACAACATGGCATTCTAACATTTTTAACAGTGTCCTCGTCTTTTCCGACAGTGCGAGCTATTTCTCTCCAAGAATTATTAACAACATGTTGATCACGGTGATCTCTGAGAGCTGAATCATACAAATGTCTGTATTTACGAACCTCTGCCATACTAGTTCTTGCCAGTCCGCCATGTTTTTCCGCGTCCGACCGTCCGCATAGTTAGAAAATTTCCTAGGTGCGGAAATTTTGGGCCTGCGGAGAAGCGATGGAGGGTCGTGGTTGTTAAAATGACGCAATTTCGCTGCACGGACCTCGTGGACGCGTCAAGCATAAACCAACCTAAAGGATGTGTGTGTAATCAACCCGGCCAGCTGAGCTGTGCGCGGTTGGACATTTTCCTTCCGGAAGTAACAAGACAGAGGAAGTGGTCTTCTGATATCATTGCCACATTGTAAGACACTGGGGCTGCACAATATATCGAAAAATTATCGTCATCGCGATAACAGGACGTGCGATAGGCCCATTGCAAAACACGGCAAAAACAGCGATAAATGTTTGGTTCAAACTTTTCCATCCGTGTCATACATCAACTTTTTGTAAACCAGCTCTGTTTTTTACGCGGAAGTATTATTTGACCAATCAAATGTAGTCCTTCTGATGGGTCCGTTCACGTAATACGCCCGCCCCCTACGTAGACCCTTTTGGAAAGCAGCACCCGAACAGAGCTTGCAGCGCTGTTCCCTTGTTCGTCATGCTGGCACTTAGCTTATTAGTACTCGTATTGGTCCTCGGTATTGGCAAGTATTACAACAATATGCACTTGTTTCCGATTATGATGTTACACATTTTACAGTTTACAGCAGTTGTTTGTCAATATTGTTCCCTCTGCATTTTCAGTTCATGTTGGATTGCAATCAAGATAACCCATTAGAAATATTGAACTGTGCATGTTTTAATGACATCTTTATAAGATGTCATTCATCTGAAGGAAGCCTGCAGCTCATGTTAGTCTCTCAGCTCCAGCCACACTTTTACAGCCCGCCAGGTTTCTGCCTGCTAACTGCAAGCTGTCATTTCTGACAGTAAGTCTTCAGTTTTAGTTATGTTGTGCCCATTGTGCAGTCTATTTCCTGGCCTGTCATCGCCATAGCTACTAGCAAAATATAGGAAGCAGAAACAATGAAAGTGTGAATATCCTGGTTACAGCTATTAGGATTTTTATCTACAGACAACACTGTACTACATATTAATAATGGTTTATTAAATGTTCTTTCATCCATCTGTTTTTGTAGTTGGAGCCGGTTTTGGCGCATTTTAATCACATTTCCTTTGTGCTTCTCTTTCAGGTTTGACTTACATTGTGCAGCTAGATCTGGACCTAAAATACAGGACCAACATCAGAAACCTTTTCCAAGAATTTGACAAATTCCCTCCAGGAGCGGTAATAGGCATCGCCAGAGAGATGCAGCCAGTTTACAGGTAACTAGTGCAACACAGCACAGTTAAAACTGAGCTAATTATCTCTTCAGCAGGCTACTAATGTACCGAGATGTCTCTGATAGATCTTAATAAAGACAAAATATTTAACACATTGTGACATAATCATCTGAGGCTATCTCCTTGTAGACTTTTGAAGATTTCAGAGTTATTAATGAAGAGATGAAACACTTCAGATGTGTGTTTTTGTGCTCACTTTCAAGAGGAAGCAAGTTTGAAGCTCTTTGCTCTCCTACCAGTTTATTCCATCCATCCCCAAGATAGTAAAAGAAGCAAACCCAGTCCGTTTAGACTGCCTCACCATTTCCACTGAGACTCTGCTTCAAAACAGGACGTCACTGCGTGCATGTTTGTGTGTGCAGAGGTAAAACTGCATGAGGCATGCTCAGGTGGGACATTTTCAGAGCAGCTGCTTGTTGGTGTAAACACAGGCAGGTGGTTTCCTCTGGGGTCTTTTGGACCATGGATGAGTGAAATGCTGAAGCATAATGGTTTTAGTACAAAGGTAAATAAGGACAGCCTTGGCTAGCTATCATTGCTGCTTTTATAGTTTCTGTTTTTCATGTCATTCTTTGTCAGTACCTCCTCTGCTTTGGTAAGTTTTCAATTCCTAATGCATTCACATGTAGGGATGGGTACTGAATGCGGTACTTTTTAAGGTACCGACCGAATTCCATAGTACAGACCGAGCACCGATTCACGTCATTTCAAACGGTGCCGCGTTTCGGTACCCGTCCATCATAACGAGAACTTGCCAAGACAGCTGCGCATGCGCAAGAGCGTTATGTCGTCGCTCGCTGCGAGCCAGTTGTAAACAGAGCAGCATGGTAGAAAGAATGCACGCTAAAGCTTGGGTCCACTTCACTAAATGTGATGGGTAACTGGGTGATGATGAAACCAGCGACAAAGATCTAAGTGAGACATCCTCATCTTTATCTGCTCCGGTAGGTAAATAAAATGTTTAAGATAACGTTAGCTTGATATGTTAGCTTCCGTTTCGCTAATGGTGCGTTCGCTTTCTCCTCGTAACCCCGAATTTCCGACTAGAAGAACATGAACGCGCTCTAAAGTTTGGCTTCACTTTACTAAATGCGACGGGTGATTGGGTGAAGATGAAACCAGTGACAACGATCTAAGTGTGAGGCATCATCGTTTTAATCTGCTCCAGCAGCTAAATAAACTGTTTAAGATAACGTTAGCTTGATGTGTTAGCTTCCATTGCCACCGTTGTTATCAGCTAATGGTGCGTTCGCTTTCTCCTCGGAAATTCTAAATTCCCAGTGGGAAAAATCAAATGAAAAAAGACAGCAAAAGGAATGAAGATACACAGTAAATTTAGTTCACAGTAAAGATCTTTGATTCAGTTTAATTATCAGCTTATAAAACTACAAGGACGATGTTAAAATACAAACAGTTGAATGCAATTTATCGTGATATTTATCAAATATTGTTATATTGAGAAAAATATATATTTAATTATAAAAGAGAATTAAAATATTAAACACTCAAAAGTATCGAAAATTGGTACCGTTAAGTACCGGTATCGATTCCTAGGTACCGGGAATTAGTACCGAATCGATTCAAATGTCAAAGGTACCCATCCCTATGCAGCAGATCACCCATCCCTAAATATTGTCTATTTACATTTTGTAAATGACTCTTTAGACAATTCATTATAAAAATAATAATAATAATTTGCTAATAGTTTTATTAAAGATTGACCAATATTGGCCAGTTGATAAATCAGGTTGACATTTATCAAAAAATGGCAAAAATTTGTCCCCCTATATTGGCCATCTGCTGACGACCTATACCATATTGTCGGTACAATGTTGCCTCGCTATAACTGGGTTCACCTTTCGCGGTTTTGCTGATTTTTTTGTGTGCAATTTTGCAGCGCTTTTTACAGTGTATTGTGTTCTGCGTCCAAAGCTACAAAGGTTTCATCTTTGAGTGTTTAAACAAGAGAGAAAAGTGTGAAAATGTTAATGCTTGTCTGAGAAAAGTGTATAAAGTGCATAGTGAGGGGTTTTACAGCCTTAAAAGATTGTGGTGGTGTGCTGAGATGAGCACGTCTGCAGGGAGAGGAGAGCGTCCGTGTCAGCTGGAGCATGCTGTGCCATGGCTGCAGCGCATTAGTAATCAGCGCTGCTGGTCTTCGTATACAGACGCGAGTCTCTACATTGTGTCGACGAGACTGAAATGCTGGAGTGAGTGTGTGCAAATAAAACTGTTCACCTATGCACACTAGTAATGCATGATATAAGCTGTATAACTGGTATGATTTTGGCCTATGACATAGAATTTTTCACTACCGGCGAACTGGTTATGCTTTCTGATGACGTCTTCAAGGAGCATGACAGTTTACACCTTCAGTATACACTCATCCTCCTTCTGCAGAAATGTTTCAATCTGCATCAGCTCTGGAGGACCCACAGCAACAGCTGCTGCAGAGCACTGTGGATGAAGACGTGCTCGTAAAGAACACAAACCTGGTTTGGATTTAAGGAGTTGGATGATGAGCAGAAAAACATCCTCAGTAAATGTTCTGGGTGAGAATACATTTGTATCAGTGTAAACAGCTCATTAATGCCAAATCCCTTAAATACCGTTCGCTTTTTCACACATGAACAGTTTTCCCTCACAGTTCTTCTCACTTTCTACTGTTTGTCCTGTTAAATCTCTCTCTCTCTCTCTCTGTCTATGTCTCTCTGTCTCTCTCTCTCTCTCTCGCTCTCTCGCTCTCTCTCTCTCGCTCTCTCTCTCTCACGCGCGCTCTGTGCTGCTTGTGCACACCACGATGGGTCTGACCGAGGTAGGTCAGCTGATCTGAGCGCAGCTCAACAAAAGTGAAAAATATTGCATAAACCTTCAGCATTGTTATAACATTATTGACAAAAAGCAGAGCATCATTTTACCTGCAGTTATTCACTCCTGAAGTAAAAATTCAGTTCTGTGAGTAAACACATACATAAAGGCAAACATAAAAGCTATTTTGAGATATTTTGTATTTAATGAAGTTTCAAAAATTAAATGTAATTTATAATTTATACTGAAATTTTTTCTATACTTTTTACAATTATTTGTTCTACCATAAATCTTGTACGCGAGATAGTTTCACATGTATAAACAGAAGAAAATAATATATTGCGATATATATCGTTACTGCTTCAAAATTTATTGCGGTATAGATTTCAGGCCATATCGCCCATTCCTAAAATAGGCATGCTGGAAATAAAATTGTGTGTGTGTGTGTGTGTGTGTGTGTGTGTGTGTGTGTGTGTGTGTGTGTGTGTGTGTGTGTGTGTGTGTGTGTGTGTGTGTGTGTGTGTGTGTGTGTGTGTGTGTGTGTGTGTGTGTGACCCCAGTAGTAGCTGCGTACACTACAAACATCTATAATAATCGTGAAAAATGAACCTCACTACTTCGTGGATTTTGCCTGTTGCGGGTTATTTTTAGAATATAACTCCACTATATTGGCATTAGAAAATCCCAAATCGGTCGATCTTTGATCTTTACACAAACGGTCCTTTGCTCTGTACGGGAACTCTCATACACTCTTTTTTTTAGTTTCTGGGCACTCATCAGAATACATTTTGTCCTGCCAGGCACCAGTTGTCTCCAGCATCTCCAGTCAGATCCCTATCTCTCCTCAGCCGTCTGTGTTAACCGGGACCCTTACCAAGCCTGGGAAAACCCTGATGTTGTTCCTGTGAGGCCGGACACACTTAATTTAGCACAAATAGGTCAGACCTTTTAGTTTGCACAGCCTCACGGTTGAAAACTCGGCCATAAGCCATCTGAACTGGCTTTCTCTTGTCTTGGACTGTGCATGGGGAAGTTTATTCAGAGTCTTGGTTTGGGATCCGATTTTTTTCCTGTTTGTTTCAGAGGAAATCAAAGTCTGGTTTGATTATGCAACATCAGATTCTGGAAAATATTAATGCTAAAAATAACATAAACAATGCATGCATTGTGATGTATGCACACAAATCTAAAGTCACAAAATATTGCATATTTATTATTTACCCAGCACTTGAAAATCACGTTTTGTTTATTTAGTCCAGGAGGAGCAAACTTCTGCTTGCTTGTTTTCAGTCAAGCTGCCATTTTAGTCTAAAGACTTCAAAATATTTTGGCCTTTGAAACCAACTTTCGGCAAGGAACAGAGTGTATCTTCACTACCGGAGTGTTTTCTTGTGTTTAGCAGTAGGGGTCTCTCAACTCCCACTCTGCTTTGGTGTTAATGGCCAGAACATTATGCAGGATAATGCATCCTCCCACCCATCACATTTACAGCACATCCTGCCACTGAAAAGTTTATTATTTCATCACCCGTTGCTTCCTTCCAGCTGGGTTAGTCATTTTTTAAAACCTGGGAGATTAGCCCCATTTCCCCTAAAGTCTCAAACACACAACACCATGAAACGTTTTATTGTATTTATTTATTTATTTATTTTTAGCCAAGTAGAATTCTTCAGCTGTGTAGCTCTGGTCATCTAATGAGCCAGAAGGACATCAGTCTTTTAATACTTCGCGTAATGCATCTCCATAGTGGGATTTATTTCACACAACAGCTGGAGAATATTAAATCTTCCTCTTTCATGAGCTTTTTTGCCAATGGACAAGTCTGCAGGTTTGAGTCATGTTTTGCAACTGAAAGACATAAATCTATTTTTGATTTATTAGTTTTGCCTTTGGCATCAGAAGCTATAAGTGCTACAAAAACCTTCATAATACAAACAGTGAGTCAACTGAATTCTGATAGTTTTATTTTTAGTTTAGCATCAAAACCTTGCGCTTTTATGATTGAACTTTACCTTTTAGTTTAGTGCAGCCTGACCACTCTGTACCACCAAGGACCAGACACACTTTATTTATTAAGCTCCTGAGCACACACACACACACACACACACACACACACACACACACGCACGCACGCACGCACGCACGCACGCACGCACACACACACACACAAATTCATCGAGCTAGTTTTACTCAGCCATCAGAGAGCAGACTGTGTCTTGTCCTGAACTAAGTGAAGGACACATTTTTTATGATTGCAGCACAGAACGTCCCCATCACCTGCCAATGGCTTTCATTCTTTAACAAGTTGCAGGAGCGTCACTTGAAAGACTGGCAGCAAAAACTGGAGACGAGAGTGGAGGTGTGAACAGTAGTAGTGATAATGCCAATCGACTCTTGGGGGGGGGGGTCAGATTTACTGTCTGTGTTGTGACAAGAGAACAGAAAACGCTGCAGTTTGTCAGGATCACTGCTCCGTTGTGTGAATCAGTCGGAGCCAAGCCAGTTTTTAGACCGATAACTTCCATGTTTTATTCTAGAACATTTTGGTGGAAAACAAACCAAATCAACCCAATCATTCCCTTGTGGGATCTCAGTTGTTAGTGTTTTAAATAGTTGTTTCCTAGATCCAAAACACTGGTGGAGGTAAGAAAAGTGAGGTGTTCTCAATGTGTTTCTGTTTTCAGATGAAGGATAAAAGTATCTAATTAGAATATCAGTAAATTACTGGTTCAGTAACCATAATCAGCAAATGTAATATTAAGATAAAAGCCATACTTTTGCGTGAAAGCTATGCAATTAATGCAATTATTATTTCAGTTTTAGCTTCAAGCTATAAAAAAACAATTGTTATTATAGTAATTGTTTTGTCACATTCCATTCTTGTGTGTTCTTTTTTCACCATGTTTTCTGAGTGGCGTTCACTTCTGCTCCTTCTTAAGACTATACTCATGTTCAGCTTGTGATGTTTTAAAAAGTTAACATCATTTAAAATCACAGAAAGTAGGAAAAGCACACCAGTGGTGCATGAAATACGTCAAAAGAATCCCTCTGATGGTTTCATTTTTGAGCCCACGTGCAGTGTGGTGCACCGTCCAGCAATATTCTATGCAGACATTTATGGGAAAAATTTATTCAGACAGGTTCTTTGTTCCTTGAGACAATGAGAAAAAAGATCCAGAAAAATCTCTTTGTCTGATTTAAACCTCCCACTGTCTTTATGGGTGACCCCACAAGGAAAGCTGACCATTGAGCAGGATTGATGGTTTATCCCTTGAAGTCCACGTGGCAGGGGTGAGGTGGTGCTCACTCCTCACCCCTGTACGCTTAGGTGTATTTTATCAACAGTCAGTTGCGGAGGAACATGCGTACGAGTGGCCACTGCATCAGGATTTTGGCCGTTCATACAAACATTCTAAATTTTATTGATAGGACAGAATATAGGACAGCTTCTAGGAACATTTGATAAATGAGGTCCCTTGTTCTTTCAAGACTCGGATAAAGGTTTTTCTGAATTTAATCATTCAAAATGTACAACTGTAAAGTTGATGTACAGTCTAGTGTGCCCCTCATAGGGATTTTTTCAGTTTGTATTCTGGTTTGAGTGTGCCTCGCAGCAGTCTGGAGTATTTTCAGCTGAAGTGGAGAAATACATGTAATGTTCTCCACTCTGTCAGTGTTAGCCAAAAATAATCCTGGCTAAAACACGATTCCCCCCTTAGTTAAATCACCCTATTTGAACAATGTTTCTTTAAAACAAAAAAATAATCTTATTTGTTGTGATCACGTAAACGTTTTAATGCATGAAAGACTCATTTTGTTTTCAGATAACTCGTCCAAAACGAGGATGTGTCAAATAAACTCCTTTTTCCTTTTTCTGACTTCCTCTGCTTGCTTGTAAAAGACAACGACAGAACAAGAAAACTCTTTTTTTTCTCACTTCCAAGTCTTCTTTCACTCCGTTTATGGCCACGTCTTGCTCTTCTTCAGTGAGTAGTGAAGACATTGTTTAATTCATTTTGCAGATATTAAAGAAAAAAGGCTTGGAGTCAGAGACTATTGAAGTTTCCCAGTAAAACTGTTTACATTAGGAGCAGGAAGCAGCAGAGAGCTGTTTAAAAAACACAGCACATCTGTGCAGATCTGAGGCATGTTTATTATTTTATTGTGTGCAGTAATAAGGAAAAAGCAAACATTCTGTGTGATCTTTAGAGGAAAACAGACATTCCTGCTGTTTAAAACATGGTCTCAGTGTTTAGTGTGCAGAGTAGGTATCTGTGCCTCTGAAATCTTATTTGTTTCATTTTTACTCTTGCACCAGGCTAAATAACCATCTGTGTCATGTAATAACCAGACTAGTGCATATTATCTATCATGACCACTCTGATTGTGATGTAGTTGCAGATTGCTCTATGAAGTACATTTTAGTTATTAAAACAGCATCCTGGAAAGTCCATGAAAACGTTCCCTCGATGAGTTTGTTTACTCGGTACGAGTCTCCAGGCACTAAGACCCGGAGAACATCTTCAAAATGATAAATGCTCCACGAGGTCCCTAAAGTCCCCAGCTACCAAGTGAACAGGCTTTAAAACCACAGGGATGTGCTACAGCTGCTGAATGTAGGTCAGCAATGATATCAAAGCCTGACTCAGAAAATCTGCTGCTCCCACTAGACATGATCAATCCACACACACATACACACGCACACACATTCACTAAACAATGCTAAGCATATTTATTCCCAAGAAATTTCTCACATGCATTACCTGCACTGAGTCTCACTCAGCCTGGTGTGAGCTGTGTTTTAGGATTGTTTGTTAATATTTGATCTACCGTAGATTTCCTTCAGCATGGTGAAGACCAAGAATAGTCTCATTCTCTGGTGTGTGTGTGTGTGCACGTGCGTGCGTGCGTGCATGTATGTGTGTGTGTGTGTGTGTGTGTGTGTGTTTTCAGAGGCTTCCGGGCCAAGGGTACATTCCCATTCATCCTAGTGTTTAACAGCAATGGAACATTTTAGCACTTAGTGTGTGGACAAGAGCATTTTGTTCTCTCCAACTGAACCACTTCATCAGCAAAAAGAAAAAAATGTTACAAGTACCGAACTGAAATAGAATCAGCAGAAGTATTAACCATCAACAGTTTCAGAGAATAGCAGCCTGTAAACAGAAGGCAAGAACAATATAATAATGATTCAAACAACCTTGAGGATTTTCTAAGGGTTGCCTATAAATCCAGTATAAATCTTTTGACTACTTGTGTTGCAGTATTTTCAGCACTTTTGATGGTGAGGATCAAAATGTTGATGCTGGATAGTAATAATGCAGTTTTCTATTTAAATTCTAGCTGACATGTTGTGTGCTCCTGGGTCTAAAGCTGCCTGTGTGTGGTTTCAAGTAAATAGAAACAGCTCACTATTGAGGTGCCGGTCTAGAACTTAAACCATCACAGAACTACTGTAGAGCTTCCCACAGGTTGTTGCAAATACTCTGTTAATTTCAGAGTTGTTAGCTAAAACCTTCAGACTAATGGTTATCCTTTTCTCGTAGACACACCTTCTGGCAGTATCGTAAGGAGAATCCCAACACCAGAGTAGGTGAGCCACCTCCTGAAGGCCTTCCAGGCTTCAACAGTGGTGTGATGTTGTTGGATCTAAGTGCCATGAGGGAGTCATCTCTCTACAACCAGCTGCTGAAACCCAACAATGTGGCCAAACTAGCAGACCAGTATCGCTTCAAGGGTCATCTGGGGGACCAGGACTTCTTCTCGATGATTGGTATGGAGCATCCTGAGCTGTTCTACTCCCTGGCCTGTGGCTGGAATCGGCAGCTGTGCACCTGGTGGAGAGATCATGGTTATGGAGATGTGTTTCAGTTGTATTATCGTTGTGATGGACCCGTTTACATCTACCACGGGAACTGTAACTCTCCGATCCCAGATGACTGAGTTTTCAGGTGAACCTTTTCAGAAAACGACGTCAGCAATGAAGTGAACTCTTTACTGCATTTTTCGGGAATAAGGACCTGATTGTCTTTTTATTTTTACTTTTTTTGGAGGAGAGAGCCTCATACTCTGCCCCCTGCTGGCTAGGGGGTTAATAAAGAACCCTCCAAAACTTTTACTTTAACTCATTTTATTTTATTGTGGAAAGATTCTGGATTTAATAATAAACATTGCATACCAAATTTGAGCTAACCTAAACTTGGTGCTGGGGTGATTTTAGAGTTGATACTCTGGTAGCACCAGATTTCATGGATCAAATCCACCAGAAGGGGGTTGGAGTTCTGCATCTGAGACATCTCTGTCTTTGTGGTACGACAAGCGTGTGTGTGTGTGTGGGGGGGGGGGGGGGGGGGGGGGGATGGTCCCCATTTTTGGAGGTATTGCTGTGTCAGCATCTCCCTCATCCACATCCTCAAGACAACAGAGGCAAGTCATTCATTATCAGTGTCAATTTCTTTTTGTAAATTAAATTATTTCAAAAAAAATTTTCTATAAAAATGTTTTTTATTTAAGAAAGATTTACAAATCCCTTGGAATATTAATAAGCTCAACAACTGTTAATCGAGAAATTTCTACTTTTACTTTTGCAGTTTGAGTCAGATCCATCATGACCAGAGAATATTTCCTTTCAGGTTGATCTTGTAAGGGCGAAAGGTTTGTAATAATAATAATACATTTTATTTAAAAGCGCCTTTCAGGACACCCAAGGTCACTTTTCACAAAACACGTAATAAAATACAATAAAACAATAATAAAACCCAAAGAAGAAAAAACAAAGAGAGAAACAGTTCAATAAAATCAGAGGTTGTAGGCAGATTTAAACATATGTATTTTGAGTTTTGTTTTGAAAAGGGTGAAACTGTCGACGTTCCTGATGTCTGGGGGAAGTGAGTTCCTGAGTCGAGGAGCAGAGCGGCTGAAAGCTCTGCTCCCCATGGTAGCGAGACGGGCAGAAGGAACCGCAAGATGGATGGAAGAAGAAGATCTGAGTGAACGGGATGGGGTGTGAATACTTATAAGGTCTGAGATATATGGAGGAGAGAGGTTGTGGATTGCTTTGAAGGTATGAAGGAGAATTTTGAAGATGGACCTGAATTTAGCTGGGAGCCAGTGAAGCTGCTGGAGAACCGGCGTGATGTGGTGAAAGGAAGTGGTTCTGGCGATAATACGGGCTGCTGAATTCTGGACCAGTTGCAGTTTATGAAGGACTTTGTTGGGGAGACCATAAAGAAGTGAATTGCAATAGTCGATACGGGAGGTGACGAGGCTGTGGACGAGAATGGCGGCAGTGTGAGGGGTCAGTGACGGACGGAGACGGTTTATGGAACGTAGATGGAAGTATGCTGACCGAATTAAGTTATTAATGTGAGCCTGAAAAGAAAGTGAGCTGTTGAGAATGACACCCAGACTCTTGACGTGAGGTGAGGGGGAGACTATGGCGCTGTCAATAGTTAAAGAAAAGCTGTCAGATTAAAGTTAAAGTCTCATCAGTTATCACACACACTGATGTGTGTGCGACATTTGTTCCCTGCATTTGACCCATCCCCTGGGGGAGCGGTGAGCTGCAGACACAGCCGCACTCAGGAACAATTTTGTGAAGGAGTTTAAAGGAAATAAGGGGTTAATCATGATGGCACTGTTGGTAATTTGTGGTTCAATGCATTTGCACTTTAACTGAGGCCAAACACAGCCAGCACACACACATTCACACAGTAACAGAGCAGGGAGCGGGGCTGCAGATGCTGACCCATTTTTGGTGTTCTTGCTGTGCTGACGTGCAGATTCAAAGAAATGTCAACACTCAATATCCATCAGCATCTGGGTTGATGCAAACTTTAAAACACACACACACACACATGTGCACACACACACAGAACACATTTCAGAACTGGACATTATGAAATCTTTTTCCCCAAAAACCAAACACTGAATAATTTAACTCCTCCATGTGGAGTAGTGACATAATATATCATTATTATATTCAACCTGGTATCAGTAAAGTTTGCTCCGTCTGGTTTGTCCCATGTTGTCGTTCTTTTTTTTAAACAAACGGTTTTGTTACCTGTTGTTGACGCTACGCTTCGCCGACGGCTGCCGGCTTCTTCAGGCTGACGCTGATGGTGGCGCGTCCCTTACTTCTCCGTTTATCTGCGGGCCTCACGTCGGCGAAACGTAGCGTCAACAACAGGTAACAAAACCGTTTCTGTGTTTTAAAAAAAGAACGACAACATGGAATTAGAACAACACAGCAAGAACACACCTAATCTGGTTTGTGTTTCTTTTTCCCTCAGATCAGTTTTTCTCAGTTATTTTCTATGATGCCAACCCCACAAGACATTGTGAAAGCAGGGTGTGTGTGTGTGTGTGTGTGTGTGTGTGTGTGTGTGTGTGTGTGTGTGTGTGTGTGTGTGTGTGTGTGTGTGTCATGCGCCCCCTGCCCCCCAGTGTGTCCCACTAACTACTTCCTCAAATCCTCTTCTCTATGTTTTTGAAACTCCCAATAACATTAATGACTTGTGTAATAATTATAGACTGTTACGATCCCTGGTTTTATGCCTTTTGAAAAGTCTCTGTACTATACAACCACCTATGGGTCTAACAAAGCCTCTAAGCAACAATTTTTAACTAGTAATCCACCACAGTGCTCTAACGGTACAAAGTCCCAATAAAGCTGACCAAGTGGGGGAAACAGCACACAATCAGCTGGTCCCCAACTGCAGGCAGAACAGGAAGTCTCTAAGCCACCCAGCAGCTGATGGCTGGATGATTCCCAGCTGGTCCCAGGTGATGGTGGAGGAACCAGGAACAAAGTCAATTGAATCCTCTGGGCTGCAGGCTGAAGAATATGGAGAGCTGGGCTGTACACTCAGACAAAAAGCAAAACAAACCTAAGCACAGAGACTTTTCTAAAGGCATAAAACCAGGGATCGTAACATACACATTGAATAATTTCCATAGAAACTAATGTTTGCAAACATTTTTCTATTATTTAATTTTTAGGACCACAGATTGTACATCTGAGGTCCAATCCCAATACTCACACTTCCACACTTGCACCCTTCAACTGCGCAGTCCAGACCAGGTGATGCGAGTGTGTGGGGTGTCCTGTTTCTCAAGTGCAGAAGTTGATCGCGCCCCTTTTGCGCCCTTGATTTGCACTTCACCCAAGTCTGCATCGATACTTGGGTCAAGGGTATTACCCACAACCCATTGCTGTGGGAGAAAAGGATCAAGTGTCATTTCTGAAAATATGTATTTTCTAATGAAAATAGTTGATTTTAGGGTGTTTAAATGATGCTTTCAATGTTTTTGCAAAAGCAGCAATGAATGTACATTTAAGTAATTGTTTGGCTCTTAGAAAGTTGTTAAAAGTTTTTTTTAAAGTAGCAGCGACCAGCGTCCCGACATTCATTGCAGTCGACACAATATTCCCTGTCTCAGTTCAGTAATTATCTGCACACTTGTGTACCTCGCACTCTTTAGCCTTACTGTGCACTTCCTCCAAGTGCACTTCACAGAAGACCGTACGGCACAGTGCGAGCATTGGGATTGGGCCAAAGTGTTGATGTAAGGAGAGAAAAGTGAAAACATACTGTCCTTTATTATCAATGTGGTAACAGGAACACCAGTTTAGTGTTAAACAGCTTGGAAAAACTATGTCACTTCCTGTTCATGAGCATAAATCAGCTTTCAATCCATATTTTTCATTTGACAAAATCCTTATACAAACATCATGCCCTATTTTGTGAAACCATTTATATTTTTGCCTCGAGGCTTTTAATAGCTATTCATCTTTCCTTATTGTTTTTACCTTTTATAAATAAATATGATGACTTATTTCTGGTGTGTTTCATATGTTGCTGACATTCCTCTTCCCTGTCATTTTCGTCCACTATAGGGTTAAAATAAAGAGGGAGTGACAAAATAAGGAAGCATCCTCGTGTGGCTCATTATTCAAGCATGTCTGTTGTTGTTTTCTCGCCGCGAGCCAAATGTGACCCATTTATGCCACTCATGTTTGCCAGCAAAAGTTAAACACTCCGTAGAAGTATATATGTAAGTGTTGACCGTCAAACACAAATCTACACCTAAAACCTAAATGCTCTTTTAGAAGTTTTAAAATATGAATACTTCAATGTTTGAAATAATCAAACATTTTAGTCTTAATGCAAAAATTCAAACTGCAGCAAAAACAGTTTCAGTGACTGAACTTGTAATTGGGCTTCCTTTACTATCTGAATTAAATCAATAACAACCCTGAGCTGTAAAACCAATTACCACTCTGTGATTTTTTAAATCTCCCAGCTTGCTTTTATTGACAAAACACTTGAAGTGTGTTTACCTTCAGGGTCAGGAGCAGGAAACATGATGGAAGTTTTAGATTAGTTTGAGTTTGTGTATTGAGTAAAAGTTCAATCTTTGATATTTCTATGTAGCAGTGTCAGATAATGAAATAAGCTATTTTTACTCTCTAAATCTGAAATTTTGTCGTTTGAAATCCATTTGGAAAAAAAGTACATATTAATGTGATTTATTATAATTCCCATAGCATTTTCCACTCTCACCTGTAACTTTAGTTTTTTTTTCCTAATTAGCCTTATGTAGATTTTTGTACTTATTTATGTTTGTTGTTCATGAATAATCTTAGCTGCAGACCTACTGCTTGCATGAACAACCCGCCAAACAGTAAAGATTTAAATCAAAATTATTTATTGACGGGCCGGCTAAACCAGGCATGTCCAATGTGCAGCTCGGGGGCTATTTGCGGCCCTCCAAGCAATTATGTGCAGCTCCCGTTTGCATTGTTGATGTTGACAGGGTCTCGAACACCGGTCCTCATAGGTAATCCAGTATGTTTTAGTTGTTTCCCTGCTTAAACACACCTGATTTTAATAACAGCTGAACAGGTGATTAGACCCACATTAATCAGGTATGTTGGAGCAGGGAAACAACTAAAACATGCTGGCAGCGATCCAAACCCCTGGCATAGATCAACCATAGATGGTGCCAATGTATCTGGCATGTTGTCTACATGGCTCTTTGTTTCAGCCATGGTTTTAGAATAGAATAGTCTTTATTTATTCCACAGTGTGAAAATTCACTTGTTACAGCAGCACA